GGATGGGATGGGATGGGATGGGATGGGATGGGATGGGATGGGATGGGGTGGGGTGGGGTGGGATGGGGATGAGGATGAGGATGAGGATGGAAATGGGATAGCATGGAGATGGGGATGGGATGGGGGTGGGAATGGGATGGGATTGGGGTTGGGGTGGGGATGGGGTGGAGTTGGGATGGGATTGGAATGGGAAGAAGAATGGGGACAGGGATGGGGATGGGGATTGGATGGGGATGAGGATGGAATGGGATTGGGATTGGGCTGGGGATGGGGAACTGAGCTGCGTGCTGCTCCCTGCAGGAAGTCCCCTGTCACAGTGAAGAAGGAGGAGGAGAAGAAGCCCCACATCAAGAAGCCGCTCAATGCCTTCATGTTGTACATGAAGGAGATGAGGGCCAAGGTGGTGGCTGAGTGCACGCTGAAGGAAAGTGCGGCCATCAACCAGATCCTGGGCCGGCGGGTATGTGTCTACCTTGCGCCTTCAGCCGCCTGCACACCGCTGTGGCGGTGCTGGGGACCTGCTGGCGGTGCTGGGGACCTGCCGGCAGTGCTGCCCTGTGTCCCCAGGCTCTGCAGCACTCTTTCCCCTCGCAGTGGCACTCGCTGTCGCGGGAGGAGCAGGCCAAGTACTACGAGCTGGCACGGAAGGAGCGGCAGCTGCACTCGCAGCTCTACCCCACATGGTCAGCCCGCGACAACTACGTGAGTGTGACCCACGTCCCCAGAAGTCTGGTGGGGTTGGGGGCTGAAGTCAGTGGGGCAGAGGACCTGGGGATGCTGTGCTGCTGGCTCATGACACCTGCCCTGTGTCACCATGACCCCAGTGTCACCGTGAGCCTCTGTTCACTGTGATCCCATGTCACTGTGACCCCAGCGTCACTGTGATCAGCCCAGTGTCACCGTGATGCCATGTCACCACGTCCCCTGTGTCACCATGATCTCCAGTGTCACAGTGATCCCGTGCCACTGTGTCCCGTGTCACCGTGATCTCAGTGTCACTGCAACCCCCTCTGTCACCACGATACGCCGTGTCACCATGAGCCTTGATGTCACTGTGATCCCCAGTGTCACCACAGCCCTAGTGTCACCATGATCCTAGTGTCACTGTGATCCCAGTGTCACCACGACCCCAGCGTCGCAGTGCGCCATGACACCGCATCCCCGCCCCTCACGTTTTGTCCCTCCATCGCACCTCAGCGCTTTGCAATATTTCACAGGGCAAGAAAAAGAAGAGGAAGCGAGAGAAGCTGGCCCAGCAGCAAAGCCACGAGGCAGACAGTGAGTACCCGGGTGGGAAGGGGCCACCACGTCCCCCCCCACCCCCACCCTCAGCGCCCAACCCGCACCCCGCAGGCGCGCTGCCCTCCAGGAGCAAGAAGCCGTGCGCCCCGCACCACCTGCCTCCCGACAAACCCTGCGACAGCCCGGCCTCATCCCACGGCAGCATGCTAGATTCGCCTGCCACGCCGTCGGCCGCCCTGGCCTCGCCGGCTGCGCCCGCCGCCACGCACTCGGAGCAGGCGCAGCCGCTGTCGCTCACCACCAAGCCGGAGGCCAGGGCTCAGCTCGCCTTCCTCTCCAGCAAATCCTCCTCCTCCTCCTCCTCCTCCTCCTCCTCCCTGGGCTCCCCCCCGTCGCTGCTCCCCAGGCCCATCGCCTTCCCCTCGCTGCTGCTCTCCTCCCCGCCGGCCCCGCAGCAGACGCAGCCGCTTGCGCTGGTCACCAAACCGGCCGACTGAGGGGGGTTGAAGAGGAGCCCCCCACCTGCTGGGCGCCACCGACGCCACAATCACGATTCCCGACGCAGCCAAACCATTATTGGTCAATATTTGACCTTTTCTGAACTGTTTTTTTTTTGGTGGGTTTTTTATTTTTTTATTTTTCCTCTTTTGGGAAGCAGACTCTGGAAGAAGAGCTGCTTTCCCTTACCAGCAGTCGACCTGAAGACTGTTTTGATTTAAAAAGAAGAAAAAAAAAAAGGGGAAAAGAAGGGTTGTTTTTTTTTTAATTTTTATTTTTAAGAAAGAATAAAAGAAAAAAAAAAAAAAAGGACCCTTCCTCAAGGGAGAGTGCTGGGCATCCAGCGCCGGTGCCCCCAATGCTCCCAGTGCCCCCAGTTCCATCCCACTGCAGCTGGACGTGGCCCCCAGCGCGGTGCTGGGCTGGGGGCTGTGGGGTGGGGATGGGGGTGGAGGGCTTTGCCATCGAATCCCTGTTATTTTTCACAAAAACAAAGAAAGAAAAAAAGGAAATAAAACCACAGCTGCAACTTTGCTGCGTGAGCGTGGTGCGTGCAGGAAGACCCAGATTGGTGGAGCTCTGCTTTCCTCTGCTGTCCTCTGCAAATCACTGCTGCTGATATCAGCCTGGAGCCCCCGCGGCTCCCAAAGAGCCAAAACGTCGCTTTCTTTTTGGTCAGAAAAACCAAAAATCCACAGTCCTGCGAGGGAATGCAGCCGTGCTCAGCCGACACCGGGAGCGGGATGCGGCCAGCAGCCTTGAATGGGATTTCATGGGAAATTAAAGGCATGAAGAGACCTGTCACAAGAATTAAAGTCTGGACCGCAGCCAGACAGCTTCAAACAGATGTTGGACTTCAGCAGGAGAATATTTCTTTGTTTCACTTGGAGTTTTCCCATACGGAGAAGGAACATCTGTTGGGTGCTCTCCGGGTTCGGAGACCCTCCTGCTGCAGGGGAGAGGCACACGGAGCTGCTGCTCGTGGGGCTGCATGAAGGCATCGAGTCCTGCACGGCCACACGGCATCCTGCACGGCCACATTCAGCCCTGCACAGGGCTCTGTGGCTGGGGCAGCAGCACACGTCCCCCCGTCCCCGTGCCACCAGGCAGCTGCCATCTCCCTTTGGATGACATCTCGCTGTGCTCCGCTGGCACACAGCACCTGGAACCCATTTTTCTTTGGGTCACCCCATCCTTTGTCCTTATTGCGGCCATCAAACAGCCCCCCGGCACGTCGCGTCTCCCCCACCCTCCCAGAGCAGCGCTGGCCATTCATTAATTGAAATGCCTAATGAGGTCCCGGGGGTCTCCTGCGGACACGGAGCTAATTAGGGGCTCCCCGGGACCGCTCCTTGCGGGGGGTCGCGCCAGATGTCGCCCTGCCGCTCCGTACCGCGCTGGGCCGTACCGAAGCAGCCGGGAGCAGAGGTTACAGCTCATACATTTTAATTAGCGTCGTTCACTTCTCCCATTTGCTAACGGCTTTGATCCCGTATCCCGCCCAGCTCAGCGGACCTCGGGGCGCAGCGGCGGGGCCACGGGATAGGAGGGGGTCCGCTGCCGCCGGGAAGCCTGGCCGTGCTCCGAAGGGGTCGTAGCCAAGAAGCGACGCCCCGCGAGCAGAAGGGCACCGCGAGCCCCGCACCGCCGACTCTTCTCCCAAACCCCCGCTCTGAGCCCAAAGCGCAGCCACGCAGCTCTGCGCCTGCGCGCGGCCCTCCCGCCAAGCACCGACGTCTGATTTGCATAGCCGAGCCCCTGATCTGCAGGCCCCGCCTCCTTCCACATAGTTCCCGCCCCCTGGCGGGGCGCGGCCCACGTGCGCGACCTCCTGCCGGAAGTTACGTTTCCTAGCGGAACCGGAAGCGGAAGCAGGCCGTAGCCGGGTGAGAGGAGCGGGGTCGGCATGGCGCTGCGGCTGCTCTCGCTTTTGCTGCTGCTGCTGCTGCTGCTTGGCATCGCTGCCGAGACCACAAACGGGGATGGTGCCGGGACCGGGACCGCAGGTAGCGCGGGGTGCCCGGGGTACTGGGGGGAACCGGGAGCGGCTGGGGGTCCGACTGCCGTGAGTTTTACACCGGCGCTGGGTCTGCGGGGGGG